ATTTGCACATTGCTACTAGTACACATGACAAGCAACATGATGGTTGAAATAGCTCCACTGTTTCAGCAGAGCCTTGCATTAAAGCGGGGGTGTCGTCATCTGCGCATGTGTCAGTTGGCCATAGTGTGTCATTGTTTACAAACAATCGTCTACCCATGAGCCTTTTCATTCTTAGCATGTGTTGTTATCATCGCTTGGAACTCAATTCCCGCCGATGCGCAGGTGACAACCTCCCACTTCAATAAAGGCAGGCATACATAATTGCATAAAACATTACAAGTCGTGTTCAGGCTACACTAAGTCGGGCTAAGATTTAAGCTGGTCGCATTATCAGCTAGACCCAACTGCATTCAAGAATGGGAGGAAAAAGCAGGTTAAGGAATGCCTAAAGTGTTATAACATTTCTAGTATAAGTGTCTCAACACAAATATTTATCTTATCACTGATAAGAATAAATTTAATAGTACCGGTACCCAAGTAATGGATTCATCAACTACAGTTGAAGGATATGCCTGTGAATTACCGGTAGTGTTGCCGTAATGCCACAAATGGAACTAATCTAATAGAGGTCCATCCAAGGTACACATATATCAAGTACTAGCAGCCTGTCGGCTGAAATAGCTCCGCTGTTATCAAGGCACATTGCAATTAAAGAACAGAAGATATCATTCGAAAATGAACAATATGTATAGTATAGTATTAAAGCAATCAGACTTTTTATAACTTTTTATCAAAAATATTCATTGAAGAACAAAATCATCACGAAATGAACAAATCTGAGAGAGGTCTACCTATATGCCTATGTAGTATATATAATATCAAAGGAATTAGACTTGTGGTTTTAACAAGAAGTTGAAAATATCACTTTTTACCAAAAATGACAAAAATAATCATGAAAATTAGAGAATTAAAGATATCATCACGAAATGAACAAATCTGAGAGAGGACCACCTGTAGTACCTATATATGTAATATCAAAGCAATTGGACCTGCAGTTTTTAACAAGAATTCGAAAATATCACTTTTTACCAAATATGACAAAAATATTCACCAAAATTAGAGAATTAAAGATATCACCACGAAATGAACAAATCTGAGAGAGGTTCACATGTAGTACCTATATATGTATTATCAAAGCAATCAGACTTGAGGTTTTTAACAAGAAGACGAAAATATCACTTTTTACCAAAAATGACAAAAATATTCATCAAAATTAGAGAATTAAATATATCATCACAAAATGAACAAATCTGAGAGAGGTCTACCTAAGGTACCTACATACCAAGTATCAAAGCATTCGGGCTAGCGGTTTTCAAGAAGAAGTCGAAAATAGCATTTTTGACCAAAAATGACAAAAAATAATTGCTATAAATAAGACAATTGAACATATCCACACGAAATGAACAAATCTGAGAGAGAAACACCCAAGGTACCTTCCTAGAAAGTTTCACAGCTATACAGTTTGTGGTTTTTAAGAAGAAGTTGGAAATGTAGTTAACGACGGCGACAGCGACGACAGATGCCGGACGCCGACGGACAATCAGTAATACTATAAGCTCCGCTCGACTTCATCGACAGCGGAGCTAATGAAAGCAATTGGAGCAGCGGTTTACAAGTCATAAAAGTAATTTGCACCCAAAATGACAAAAATAATCACTAAAATTAGAGAATTAATGATACCACAAAATGAACAAATCTGATAGTGGCAGATGACAATCAACTTAATGGATAGTTTCGCTTTGACATTTTCGATGACAGTAGAGCTAAGAACCAGTCAAGAAAACAGGGGGAAAGAGAGAAACACAAGGAGAGACAGAGATAGAAAATAGAGCGAGAGTGCTTTAAACACACCAGTTTTTGCCCTACATGTACACTCGTTTGAATCTTACTTTTAGTTTCACAGTATTACCAACAGACCATACTGCAATTTCAAATCATAGTGAATTGTGGGATCATTCTGACCGAAACAAACACAACTCCGTCAATCACAAAGTGTGTCTGCTTATGCATGCAACCTGGCAAAACTATCCCACAATGCTTTATAAATCCTATGGCCCTCAGATCTATACTTCCTTTCTTTGAGAAATGATTCAACATACAACCTTTCATAATATATGCCGCTGTGCTACAAAGAGAATTACATACACAGTATACTACATGCATACATACTCACTTTAAAAACACCAAAGTCTATCAAGCCTGGCTGACTCAAAGCTCCCCATCTCTGGTAGTCTACCCCCGATAAGAAGAAATTCAGCGTCAGGGTAGCTGACATGGAACAGAAAAACTGAAACATAAAGAAACAAGACTCTGTGTATTACGAAACCAAACAAATTAAATGCACTTCAAACCAAGTTTAACTGTAATTGGCCTAGGTATTCCTGAGAAATGGTCAATGTTCAAATAAAAAAAAATGGCTGCCAGTCGGCCAAAATAAATTAAACATTCTCTTTGCATTATCAGAGACTAAAAAATGCATTATGTCTTTATATCAAAATTGGCAAATGCATGTAGAACTAATAATATGGATGTGATGCAATGACATTTTACTTTTATTTTTGTTACTATTGAGCTGAAACATAAAGAAACAAGACTCTGTGTATTACGAAACCAAACAAATTAAATGCACTTCAAACCAAGTTTAACTGTAATTGGCCTAGTTATTCCTGAGAAATGGTCAATGTTCAAATAAAAAAAAATGGCTGCCAGTCGGCCAAAATAAATTAAACATTCTGTTTGCATTATCAGAGACTAAAAAATGCATTATGTTTCGTCTTTGAATCAAAATTGGCTAATGCATGTAGAACTAATAATATGGATGTGATGCAATGACATTTTACTTTTATTTTTGTTACTATTGAGCCAGAGAAACAAATAAATTATGATATGTCATTCATTATCTGTTAAGATCAGAACAAACTTTTACTCACAGTTCGCCATGTTAAACTCTGATTCCAAAAAGATGCTCCTTCTTCAAGGCTAAATAAAACACCACCGATTGGGGCACCAAATGCAGCTGAAATAATAAAATCACCATGGGATTTTAGGTTGGTAGGAAGGTTATGCAGAAAGTCTTTTGATACCAAAACATATTTCAAGATTCACAGACATAATGACATTTGTCTTTAGGTACTTCTTTACAGTACCTATGATGTATCAACATACCTGCAACGCCAGCAGCAGCTCCCCCAGACACAAAATCTCTTTTATCCCTGGAAAAGTAAAACAAAATATTTTATGCAATGCATGACTGAAACCTGAAACCAGATTGGCTGAGGTGAATAAAGATGTATATCTTGGAAAAGGTAGCCATCTTGGTAATGTAAATTGAATGTATGATTGATTATAGCAAGAACCCTGCATTGTAATGATAACTTAGATATAGCTTTCCACTGGCTTTCAGAAAGCTAATTTAGCAAAAATTGAGATGAGATAGCTTTCCAATGGCTTTCTGAAAGCTAATATAGCAACAATTGAGATAAGACTGCTTTTTACTAGCTTTCAGAAAGCTAATTTAGCAACCATTGAGATAAGATAGCTTTCCACTAGCTTTCAGAAAGCTAATTTAGCAAGAATTGAGATAACATAGCTTTGTACTGGCTTTCAAAGAGTTAATTTAGCAAGTATAGTGAAAACACAGTTTCAACTAGTTTTCAGAAAAACTATAGTTGCATAAAGCAATTTATCTAGTAAAAATTCGCTTACCACAGTAAGTAACCATGGTGATGTCATCTTAATTGATTAGATTATTGAGGTCTGTAAATATCGATACCAACTTACCTATCAGTTCGAAAATAAGGAAAGTTACATTTACATCTTTTGAACGTGATACTCTTGAATTGTGGGATACCAGCCCCAATTATGGCACCGCTATGAATCATGGGACCTTCTTTACCAACAAATAAACCTAGAAAATCAAAAATTATTTGTACAGTAACAAGATCAGGAATGTAATTTGGAAGCTGGTATTAGGTGTGTACACACATGTACATTTACAGAGGAGCTCATCTCAACTTAAAATCTGGACATCCTATCTAAAAAAAATACACAATGACCTGTCCAGAATAACCGTACCATACATTAGAAATAGGCGACATACGCAACCCAAGACACCTTTTGAAATGAGAACATGTGAATATTGTACGCAAGGAAAGATTGAAAATGAACAACATTTCTTTGTGGAGTGTACAAAATGTAGAAAACACAGACAAGAATTTGAACCAAATAGTAAAAAAACAAAAGAACAGAAATTTATTTCCATAATGAGTACAACTGAAGATAACGTGGTCCGACAAATTGCAGAATATTGATATAAAAATTGTTTTTCTAATAGGAGAGACTACCGGTACACTCATGACCATTTTTAATTTTAAACTATTTTACATTTTATTTTATATTACACTTTATTGTTGTACACTGATAGAAATGTATTTTCTAAAGATGCAATAAAAACATTATTACATATTATCAGATGTATTTGTATCAATTTCGTGAGAAAAATTTTTTTGTAAAATTTTTGTGAATAAAACATAATTTGTATAAAGAAAAACGCATGAAAAACTTGCAAAAGAAACAAACAATCGCTGAAAAAAAAAAAATGTCTTTTTGAAGTTGCTTGGGAAAAAGTAAATAAAAGACAACAGATACACGTAAGACAGACTTTTTGTGAGACATGAGTGATATTGTCTGTGCTTAGAGCATTCATATCATATCAAAGAGGTTGACGTGCGTTTGATTCTGGGAACTGACTGAATTAGTCCAACAGGACCACTTTTGTGATCCTTACCAAATTATAATTTAGGAGTTTTTGCTTTTATTATTTTCATTTTCGGCTTACAATTTTTTATTGTCATTTGAATTGTCTGTTCTCATTTGAATTATTTGGTGAAATAAATAAATATAAATATATAAATACGAAAACTATAAGAAAAAAAAAACCTTACCTCCAGCAACACTAAATAGCACACCCACTGCCTTAGACAGCAGAGTTTTCAGCCTCACTATATGCGGTATCTTTATACCATTTAAATAACATTTAATTTCTGGAATACCAGAACCAGCTGCTACGGGCTTCAAAAGAAACACTTCAGGTTAATAGCATGGTACATAAGGTACATTTATTGATATATCTACTACTGTATTACGACTGCTGAACTTGAACTTGATCGATACTTGCAATAATTCCTTCTGCAGGTATTTGTTAATGTGACGACACAAATATTTATGCCAGACTATCAAACATGCAGAAAAGCGTAATATTGTCGGTAGAAGAGACAAGCTCAGATCTAAAACTAAGATTTGGTTGCATACACTGAAATCAGTTGGCTGTACATTTCTTTGCAGCATATAATAAAGTTATTAACAAAATGCAAGAATTTATTTTCTTGCATGCTTTGGTACTGTCCCCAATGCTTTGCGTCTCAGATCTTCACTGAAAAGATGGGCTTCAACATAAATTCCAGTATTTTGTTAATGACCTGATAAGTTGTAACCAACAGATCATGTGACAAGTTTGCATACTGTAAAAGGATTAATTGTTCACTGGGTTTTAATTTTGCTTATTTCGCTGACTGGAAAATGCGCTAAATTAAAATCCAGTGAATATGTAAAATTGAGCATAGAACACATTATCTAAATGATAAAACCGTGAATTTAAAACCCACTGAATATGCCTGAAATGCTAAATCAGCGAAATTTAAACCCAGTGAAAATTAGTCATTTTACAGTACCCTGTTTAGAAGTCATTCTTTACTTGTAAACTTATTCAAATATAAGTTTACAGTTAACAAAAAACTTACTTCTAAAGCTACAAGACAGCTGGAAATTAAAACAAATCCACCATTAAAAGCAATCAACAGTAATAATGATAATACTAAGCAACCATGTTGTCCACAGGCTAGAACAGCTGAGAAGTTGGAGAGTTAGGGTTATAACTATACAGCATATATATGTATAAGTAGTCTATGTGATTGGAATTCAATAATGAGAGTTTTGGTATGCTAGGGAGTTCAATAATGAGTAT